ACGTCTTGATGGACCAGCACTCGCTGCACCAGTGGCCGCGCTGCACCGTGACGAGAGGGAGCTGCTCGTACGCGGCGTCGCAGAGCGCATTTGCTGCGTCGCGCCACTCTGCCACCGTGGTGGTGGCAGTACGCCGCATAGTGGCCGCCAGATAGTTCTCGATGCCGATGGGGACCTCAGCCTTGGTCCAGAGGGACATCGCAAGGATGTCGGACTTCGCGAAGCTGGAAGGGGCGACGCGCAGCAACTTGTGGATGGCCTGCAGCTCCTTCTGGAGGATGCCCTCGGAGGGCTCGAACAGCTGGCCGACATGGCCGAGGACCGTGACGGCGGCGACGTTGTAGAGTTTGATGCTCTGCTGAATGGGCGCGTGGGACGCGGCTAGCTTCTCGATGCGGTCCCACCGCTTGACAGCGGGGCCGCGCCATTGGTCGTCAAGAGTGGCTCCTGGGCCGACAAAGAAGCCAAGGTAGCGGGCACTGGACTCAACCTTGAAAGAGGCCCAAGGCGTGTGGGCGGCAGCGAGTACTTGACGTATCTCAGCGATGATGTCCTGTGTGGGCAGCGCCCAGGTCGGGACCACGATGCACTTCTTGACCTGGAGGCGCAGGCCCGCGAGAGTCTCCACCGCGATGATGTGCGGCGCCAGCTTGCTGATGTCCGCGAGCCTCGCGAGGATGATGCCGAGGTCGTCAGCACAGGCGCTGGCCAGGCCGCGCTCGATGGCTGAGAGTTCGCTGGTGAGGGCTCTGATGACGGGGTCGAAGACGAGTGCCCAGATCGCGCCGCTTAACGGGCAGCCCTGAGCGACTCCTGATGCTGCGATCAAGAGTGGGCGGCGTGCTCCTCCCAGGTCCAGGTAGGAGACGGGCCAGTGGTAGCAAGACTGAAGCAGGTGTAGCATGCGTCCGTGGATGCCCCATCGCTGAAGTACATTCCACATCCAGTGGTGGCCGAGGCTGGGGAAGGCGGCCGCGATGTCCATGCCGACGAAGACGGGCTTGTCAGCAGCTGCATTAGGTGAGAGACTGTGACGTCGAGCGGCGGCGTCGACCACAACGACGTTACGCAAAAACTGGCGGCCGTTGACGAAGCCCTGCTGCTCGGGGGACGTCTCGGCGGCGAGGGCGTGAAGCTGGCGGTTGGCGGCGGACGCCAGCAGCTTCACATCCGAGTTCTTCATTGATAGCGGACGTAGGCACTCTGGGGCACGGGTGCACTCAGCGTTGCCGCAGGGCTCGTCGCCCTTCGGCAGCATGGCCATGAGGGAGTAGTTGAGGTCGTGGGGTGGTGCTCGATTCGTGGCGATGTCGTGGCAGAAGTCGGCGAGAATGTCGAAGCTGTCGGGAGTGCGTAGCCATGCTTTGTAAGGTAGTGTATCTGGTCCTGGTGCAGAGTCGCCTGCCAGGCGAGCGGCCTTCTCAAGAGCCCGGGCGTCAGGTAAGTCGAGGTGGGTGAGCGCACGTCGGGGGAAGATCGAGTCGAGGTACTCGGAGAGGGCTGCTTCGGGGACATGCTTTGCGGCGAAAGCGGGGGCCCAGTGGCGCATGATAGCCCGGTGCATCGTCGCAGGATCGGAGACGATGTTGGTCACGCCGCCTGCGATGATCTTGACTCCCGCCAGGGCGAGCCTCTTGGAGAACGGCTTCCAGAGTTCGCCGCGGAGGCCCTCACGTTTGGCGCGCTGGCGCCACTTCTGACCAAGCGGGGCGTTGTTGGAGGCGAATGCGGCTCGCGAGCGTGCCGCGGAGAGGGCCTTGCGCTCGTCGCAGAGGCTCGCGTGCGTGGCGTCGGTGGTCGAGGAGAAGTCGTGCATGTCGTTGATGCTGACGGAGCGGCCGTCAATCTTCAAGTGCAGTTTGCCGATGTCTGTGTTGTCGATCAAGATCTGGGCGAGGGGAACGTTCTGGTACCATGCGGCTCTAGCGATGCTGCGTAGTGTCATGGCCCTGGTTTCCTTTTTGACAGTAGCAGTTTGTGATGAGAGTTCGGCGGCAGGGATCTTGAGAAGCGTGTCACGGGCTCTGGCGGCGGCAACTCTCATGGCTGCCTTCAGGGCCCTCCAGCGCGCCGTAGGAGTGAGGACGGACATGTCAATTGTGGCTAGCACTTTGGCGATGTGGGGCTTGTAGTGGGCAGTGTCGAATATGTACGCGGGGATGCCACGCTCGGTGACCATCTTGGGCTTGCGGAGGCGGATGCGCAGGTGCATGATCTTGTGGTCGCTGATGGGGCCCTTGGGGTTCTCGAGGGGAGCGTCGTCGGCGATGAAGATGGTTTCCATGAACGGCATGAGGTGGCTAGGCAGGTTGATGAAGCAGCGGTCAATTGTCGATTCGCTTTTGTTGGCCTCACATCTATGCGTCGTCGAGGGTGTCACAATCTCGATGACGTCTCGGAACAGGTTGCGCCAGAAGACAGGTTGGTACTGATATCGCTGTGCTGCCGTGGTGTCTGCGTCGACAGGCGTGTTGATCGATCGGGGCGGGAACTCGGAGACGTTGAAGTCGCCGACGATGACTAGAAGCCGCTGCTGTGGGAGTTCATCAGCGTGTTGGCGTAGAGCGTGCCATTGGTCTCGTAAGTGTAGCCGATCTGCTGGTGTCAGGCCGAAGTTGTGTATGTTGAGGACGGTGACTTCGTGCTGGAGGCTGGCATCCGTGACCCGAAGCCAGGCGGCTCGGCCAGGGATGACGACCTCAAACCTGAGATGAGGTCGTTCTTCAGGAGGAAGTTGAAGTTCAGCCTTGTCGTATGGAACGAGGAAGCCGATGCCGCCAGCGTTGGTCACAGGGGCGTTGTTAATCATCACGGGCGAGTGGAATGCCTTGTACCGATGCTGGGTGGAGTTTGCCAGCAGCGTGAGGTCGTCCAGGGTGCCATGCGTTTCTTGAACTGCGAGAAGAGCTCGTTGGCGGAAGTATGGTAGAAGCTGCTGTCGTTTGTCGGCGCGGCGCAGGTCGGAATGTCCAAGAAGAGCTTGTGTGTTCCAGAAGGCGATGTTCAGGCCCTCCTGTGAGGGCTTCAGGAGCCACGGGCTCCAGCGGTGGCTAAAGCCACTGTGCGGCTGTGAGGGGGTCTGCAAAGTTGCTGGTGAACTCGGCGGCGATCTGCTTCTGCTCGTCTTCTGTAGTGCCATGTCTGACGGCGGCCTGTGACCATTGGAGCTTAGTAGGTGCGTCAGCGTTGCCGCCAGCAAGAAGGCGCACCATAGCCTCGCCGCGGTTCGATATGTAGCCCAGGGTTCTGTGTGTACGTGCGTCGAAGTCGGGCTTGATGTTCTGCATGATTTTGGCGAGGCGCTTGACCTGGACCTCCGTGCGGACGGCCTTCGGGCTCTTGTCGGCGGAGACATATAGAGGAACGCGTTGATCATTACCAAGATCGAGAGTAAATGCGCGCCAATCCTTTCCATTGCGCAGAGAGTTGTGTAGACGCTGTGCCCGAGGCTCTGCCACCACTGTACCTCCGCTGACCTGAAAAGAGTGGCGCTTGGCAGGGCCGACCGTGTTGAAGATGACCATGTCCTTTTTGATGTTCGCGGCCTGGAACCAGGGTGTGAGAGCTTTTTCAAGATGCTGCTGTCCGAATTCTTGAGGGCTGCTGCGCCAGAAGGTCGTGATGTCGGGGTCGCGGTCCCAGCTGCCCAGGCCGTCAAGGTTGAGAGCGGGGGCGCGTGCTTCAGCTGCTGTGATGATGGACTCCAGATTGGCGACGGCGGACTTGAGTTCAGCGTTCTGCACCTCCAGGGCATTGGTGCGGAGTTTGACTGCGGTGATATCACGCTCTGTGGCTTCGTGGCGTCTGCTGAGGTCGGACGTGATCTGCGTGAGGGAGGCGAGAAACTCTGAGCTGGCTTTGGCTGTGACTGCTTTGGCAGTGGCTTCAAACTTTTCTGAGGCGTCTTTGATCTGGGCGGCCATGGTCTCCTCAAGCTGCTTCCGAACATGTGCGGGGAGGTCGTGAACGGCAAGTTTGGAGGCGCCATCATGCCACGGGTCTTGTTGTCGCTTAGCTGGATCTGCGGCTCCGTCTCGAGGGGTCGACGCAGCGCTGGCCAGGCACTCTCCAGGTGGTCCCATGTCGTCAGTCGGAGGCCCGCGCCAGCCTCGGTCGATCGCGCGTGGAGGTGTCTGCAGGCGGATGCAGCACCAAATATGAAGCTCAACCCGCTGGGAAGCAGGAGGGCGAGGATATGAAAGCGTGTCCTTAGCTGTCCCTGGACCAAGGGTCTCCGTGCTCTGCCACGGGGCGAGATCATCTTGAGCCAAAATGGCTACGGAGGAGGAGGAGGAGGAGGAGGAGGAGGAGGAGGAGGAGGAGGAGGAGGAGGAGGAGAGGGGAGAGGGTGGAGGAGGAAGAGGAGGAAGAGGAGGAGAAGGAGGATGAGGAGGAGGATGACGCGGAGGAGGAGGAGAGGAGGAGGAGCAGGAGGAGTAGAGATAGGAGAGGAGTAGAGGGGAGGAGGAGGAGGAGAGGAGAGGAGAGGAGGAGGAGAAGGAGCAGGCGAGGAGGACGCAGAGAGGGATGAGGAGCAGAGGAGGAGGAGGAGGAGGTGAGAGGAGGAGGAGGAAGGGAGGGGTAGGAGGAGGAGGAAGGGAGAGGAGGAGGAGGAGGAGGAGGAAGGAGGAGGTGAGGAGGAGGAGGAGGAGGAGGAGGGAGGAGGAGGCGAGGAGGAGGATAGGAGGAGGAGAGGAGAGAGGAGGAGGAGGAGGAGGATAGAGGAGGAGGAGGAGAGGATGAGGAGGAGGGAAAGCAGGGGAGCCAGTAGCAGGAGAAGGAGGGTAGGAGGAGGGAGGGGAGCAGAGGAGGAGGGGAGGGGGGAGGAGGAGGAGGAGGAGGAGTATGAGGAGGGATGAGGCGGATCAAGAGAAGTAGAGGAGGAGGAGGAGGAGGGGGGAGAGGAGGGAGGAGGAGGGAGGAGGAGGAGGAGGAGGAGGAGGGAGGAGGAGGAAGCGCGAACACGCCCCGCCTAACCCTCGTCACCGAAGCCCCGGCACCTCGAGCTCGAGCTCCTCCTCGTCCCGAGAGGCCCGCGCCCTCCGGGGCGCGTGGCCGCCCCCCGCGCGGCCCTCCAGCGGCAAGCCCACCACGCTGGGCTGCACGCCAGGCGCGCCGCCCGCCGGCGGCCCGCTGGCCTCGGCGCCGGCAAGCCGCCCGGCCTCGGGGCCCTCGGAAGGGGCGAACTCCAGCGCGGTGACCTCCCGGTGGCACGCGGGGAGGGCGAGGGGAGGGGGGTGGAGAGGGGAGGGGGGGGCATGGGTGGGGAGGTGCGCTCGCGCCTCATCTGACATCCTATCCCTCCCTCCCATCCCTTCCCATGGTGCTGATTTTTCTCTTTCCGTGGGCGCGCGGAGTAGCCGACCTGCGACTCACACAGAAAGACCTCTTCGTGTTACGCACAATCGGAAACAGGAGAGCTGCGTACACGGGAGGAGGATGAGGAGGAGGAGGAGGAGGAGGAGGAGGAGGAGGAAGGTGGCGGGTGAGCAGGAGGATGAGCGGGAGAAAACGGATGAGGACGACCAGCAGCAGCAGAAACCTAAAGCGGAAGGATCGGGTGCCAAAGGAGAACCAGGGGAAGGCCGAGGAGGGGAAACGAGGGGGGGCGACAGCGACGAATGAAGGCTCAAATTCCGAAAATGAGCCCGCGCTGGGGCGAGACAAGGAGCAGCAGCAGGATCTGGAGTGGAAGGAGCGGGAGGAGCAGGAGGACCAGGGGAAGACGGAGTTTTGGGGATGCCACGAAGAAGCAAAACTCGGATCCAGAGAAGTGGCCCGCGCTGGGACGAGAGCGCCACTGTGTGTATATATGTATATGTATATATATATATATATATATATATATATATATATATAATATATATATATATATATATATGTATATATATAATTTATACACATGTGTAATACATAGATACCAGCACGCGGAGGGTGGAGATCTTCTGGCCACTTCAGGGGAGGGTGCGTCGCATTTACATTGCTGAACTGTGGGGGAGTAGGGGAGGAGGGGGGATGGGGAGGAAGGTGGAGGGGAAGGGAGGAGGGGGGGGGGGAAGAGGGGCGGAGGAGGGGGGGTAGGGGGAAGGGGAGAGGAGGGCAGAGAAGGGGGGGGGGATGGGAGAGGGGAAAAGGGGCCAAGCTGGGTGCGCTCGCGCCATATCTGTCGTCCGAGCCCTCCCGCCCATCCCTCCCCACTGCGATGTTCCTCTCCCTCTCTCTCTAACTCTCTCTCTCTCGGTGTCTCTGTGCGCCGACGCGTGTCATAGCGGACCTGCGTTTTATGCGCAATCGGAAAAAGAGAGCTGCGTACATTGGAGGAGGAGGTGGCGGATGAGCAGGAAGGGGAGCAGGAGGACAAGGAGGCGCAGGAGGAGCAAGGGAAAGCGAGGGGGGGGGGAAAAAGAGGAGGGCGACAACGCTGAGCAAGGAACGGGACTCAGAATAGTTGCCTGCGCTGGGGCGAGAGCGATTCTAGACGATGGGAGCAAAGCGCCGTCTTAAAATGAGACCAACGCTGCAGCAGAAACGCCACTCTGAAGGACCATCAAAAACGAGTGGGTTGTAACACGCAATGGGGCAAACATTAACTTGTGAAATCTTGAGTAAAAAGGCAATGCGCGGAGAGAGGGCCGCATATATTCCGGACAGAGTCAGGGGATAGAGGAGGGTAGTATTCATAGTAGTGTCAAATTGCGCAGGCAGAGGGGGAGGCAGAGGAGTAGGAGAAGGAGGAGGAGGACTAGCGTAACCCCAGAACGCATCAACGATGTTGCAGTCAACTCTCCCTCCAAGTTCCATCTTCAGAAGTCCCTACCAGACATCTTCTAATTACAGGGAATACTCCATTGAACTGAGCCGTCTGAGAGTCCTCGATCGTGCCAAACGACCATTCCTGGGACGTCAGCGCCACGAATCAACGTGACTGTTCGTCCTGACAATCTTTAACGGGGCCAAAACACAACTCCCGGGATTTCAACACCGCGAACCAACGTGACCGTTGCATCTTGGAAAGTCAAAGCCGTGCAAAACTTCATTCCTGGGACTTTTACCGTACGACTCTTTGAAACGGATACAGACTTTGAAGGCGAATGTGCCCGGCACCACAGCGAAAGCCAGGCTTTGACAAGGAACCGCCCTCCATCCTTGAAGTTGCTGCAAATTTGAATACTCATGCGTGCGGCTCTAAAGCGAGAGTCACACTTTGAAAGCCACCCATCCTCCATTCCCGAATCGGTTGCAAACTTTGAAAGCGAATGTGCGCGGCGCTGAGAGAGTGAGGACCAGAATTTGAAAGGACCCGCCCTCCATCTTTGAAGCTGTTGTAAACTTTACAGACGACTGTGCGCGGCGCTGAGGTGAGAACCATATCTTCAAATGGCCCGCCCTCCATGCGTAATCTGCTGCAAACTTTTAGGACAGATGTGCGAGAAACTAAAGAGAAAACCGTTTTATGATAATGACTTGCCCTCCATCCTTGAAGCGGTTGGAAGCTTTTGAGACGAAGCGCCCGACCCGAACCGAACGGCCCGAAACGCTGAAGACAAACTTGTTTCAAGAATTCTCAGGCGGAAGGCCCGATCTGCCCTATTCTGCAACGGGGGTTTCGCCCAGACGGGGCCCAGGGCTCCCAGTAGCAATTTTTGTATGATTTTTTCCCGACGTCAGATCCAACTGACTGCCTGTAAGCCTTCAGAGGCCCCCTTGGAAGCCCCCACAAGCCTCTGCGAGAAGGCACCGCCTTCTGAGACGCCCCTCCCCCCGCCTTCTCGGGACCCAGAACTCCGACGCCTTGACTCGCTTACAGCGCGGGCCCCTCGAGCGTGTGGCAGGGGGCGTGAACACAAGAAGGACCCCTTTGGGGTCCTTTGGGAGCCAGCAGGGGCCCCAAAGGCGCCCTCAATGGCCCCTTCGGGGCCCTTCTCTTCGCCCCCCCCACGCAGGTCCCCCCCCCCACTACGCGCCCGAGCCACGAGGCCTGGACCCCTCCCCCGGGGCTCTTCGCCCCGGGCCGTTGCTTTTTTGGAGTCCCGAAGCGGTGCGGTGACGGACCGTGCGGCGACCTCGGAATCCCCCCAAGACCTCGCCGCACGGCCCGTCACCGCACGGTTTCGGGACCCTGGAGGCCCCAGCCGCCCGAGACAGCCTCGGAGAGGGACCTCGAGTCCCAAAACCGGGCGGTGACCCCGAGTCCCCACCGACTCACCAACGCGGTGTGGCCACCACCCCCGTGTGGGGGCCCCCGAGCTTTGCAGCCCCCAGGGCCCCCCCGCGGGGGGGGCCCCCCTCGGGCGCGCCGCCGGGGCCTTCTCCGCGCCCGGGGTCTCGGTCCCGTCGGCCAGCCCCTCGTCCAGCAGCTCGTAGCCGAGGGCGGACAGGGCGTCGACGCCCACGGCGCGGTTCCTGAGGATCGAGTACACGGAGATCCCGCCCAGGGCGAGCATGAGCCCGAGCCACTGCAGCGCGGAGGCGCGCTCCCTGAAGCTGTACATGTACGTGTGTATATATATATATATATATATATATATATATATAAGCGTATATATAGTACATCTATATCTGCATCTGTATGTATGTATGTATATATATATATATATATAGATACACATGATAATATATACACATGTCCGCTTGCCCCCTTGCGGGCCATCAGGCTGCGAGGATTAGGTTTGCTGCTCCCTGCACCAGTTCCAGTTTCCAATTTTCCATTGCACAGCATTGCTTTCTGCTTCCTACTGTGAATTCTTACTGTCCGCGTGAGGGGGGGAGCCGAAAAGGGCCCTGGCTAGCGTCCCCGAATCGCGTTTTCTGAATTTCTGGGGGGCCGTGGGACACGTAAAAATACATGAATTTCGCGCTCCCGACGCAATCACCCCTTGTACATTACATTGTATTCGCGTCCCCGAGGCCAATATCCTTTGTAAATTACAATGTATTCGCGTCCCCGAAACCACGATCCCGGGTAAAATAGCCATACTCACGCTTCTGAGGACACGATCCCCCGAATCGTAAAATACGCCGCAGTCGCGCTCCCGAGGCTGCGATCCCTCGTAAATTATACCGCGTTCGCGCCCCCGAGGCTACGATCCCGCGTAAATTATGCCACGTTCGCACACCCGAAGCCACGATCCCTCTTAAATCGCGCCGCATTCGCGCCCCCGAGGCCACGATCTCCTACAAGAGGCCCCAAGAGGCGCCCAAGACCCCAAACCGCCTCCAAGAGGGAGGCTACCCACGACACCCCAACACATATACAAGAGGCCTCAGATCTACAACCCAGGCACGCTGGCGGGATGGGCCGAATGCCACTAGGATAACGCCAACGTTTCAACATGCGCTGATGACTCCTATCCGCCCACGCATGATGTTCCCAGATGCGCCAAGGCAGCGCCGAGACGCACCGACGCGACTCTGTTATATCCCATTCGGATAGAGGGGGCCGGCGGCAGGGGGCGAAGCCCTTACGGATGTAACAGTAGTGTACATACATGCATACATACAAACAGGCACACATCCATACATACAAACATACAAGCATACAACCATACATACATCAATACGTGCACACGTACAATCATACCTACACGTATACATTCATACGCACATACATACACATGCGTACGTACATACACGCATACACAAATACATACGCATATACACATACACACATACACACCCGCATACATACACATACATACATACACACAAACATGCCCACGTGCCAACATTCATGCATACATACATCCATCTATACATACATACGTACATATATAATAGAAACAAGCATACATGCAAGCATACACACACATACATACGTACGTACGTACATACACACATCCATATATGCACACCCATGTACACATCCATACATTCAGACATACATACATACATGCGTACGTACGCAGATACATACATACATGCACACATACATTCACACACGTACGCATGCACACATATCGTGTGTGTGTGTGTGTGTGTGTGTGTGTGTGTGTGTGTGTGTGTGTGTGTGTGTGTGTGCGTGCGTGCGTGCGTGCGTGCGTGCGTGCGTGAGTGTGTGTGTGTCTCTCTGTGTGTGTGTGTATGTGTGTGTGTGTGTGTATGTGTGTGTGTGTGTGTGTGTGTGTGTGTGTGTGTGTGTGTGTGTGTGTGTGTGTGTGAGTG